TGAGATGCAGCCCATCTCTTGCTAGAAGTCCACCCTCATGGAATCGCAACCCGTGATCTAAGAATCCAAATCGTTTTTGGCGGCATCATTTATGGAGCCAGTTATTCACGTCTGCTATCTTCCTCTCCCTTCCTGGACCATGCCCTTCAACTGGGAGAAGAGATGAGAAAACAACTTGTGCATCCAGCTCTTTCAGCTTCCTACCTAAAGTCTCATAATCCCTTCTGATATTCTGAAGACTGTGCTTTGCAGTATCATTGGTTTCCACACGGACCAAGAGGAAGGGGTAATGGTCAGTAGGCATGACAAGTCTTGTCAGCCTCGGTGTCACATCACGGATTTTTGCTCCAGGGAGACAACACACCTTGTCAGGCCCACAAACCACTGTTTCTGTACCTTTCAACAAGGAGTCCCCAACCACCACCACATGCCTCCTCCAAGGCTTAGCAATGGTTGTTCCCTGTGGTGGTATCTCCCTTGAATGCCATAGTATATGGGTTACTGTTGCATGCCTTCAACCCTAAGGTGAACTATCATGGGGTTTTCTTGGCAAGGTTTGTTCAGAGGTGGTTGCCATTGCCTTCCACTCAGGCTGAGTGCATGTGACTTGCCCAAGGTCACCCAGTGGGTTTCATGGCCAAGCCAGGAATTGAATCTTGGTTTTGAGAGTTGTAGTCCAACACACACACCACTATGCCACTCTGGCTCTTGGTATATGGATTAAGACTCCCCAAATTACTAAAGATGTTAAGTCCCCCTATATGTAAAGATGCCCTGCTAGGAAAAGCAGAGGATATAAATATTTAATACCTTATGAATGTGTGATGCCTTACCTGTAATGTAATGTAGTAATGTGTGATGTAGTGGTTTGAGTGTTGGATGAGGATGAACAGAACCTCTGCTCTCCATCCAGTCCACGATCACCAACAGGCAATTTTTTTATCTTCTGTCACTCAATGAAAAATAAAAGCATATGATCACCAGCTACTGTGAATGAATATGTACAGTGTCCATTCAAAATCATAACTTAACTTATCCCCAGCCTCACTCACAAAGTCATCCTCCAACAAAGTAAATTGCTGAGCTGTTCGCTACTGTTGTTACTTTTTTTTCTGCTCCTCACTTTTCAGGTTCAGCCACTGTCGTTTATATTTTCATGCTTTGTTCTCTGCATCTTTTAAACCAGCTTTTGTTCCACCTCTTTTAAGTGGGTAAAAAAGGCCTCACCTAGACTTTTCTGACCTTTCCTTCATTCATGCTTTCTGCATTGCCTTTTATTTCTGAAATTCTAGAACAAAATGCCTGTTGTTTTCTTTGGGGATGGGGGGACGACAACTGATTAGGTGATCTGTCAGGCCTCTGTGATCATCATTACACTAAATTTGCTTTGACTCTTATTACAATAGATGTTTTAATGACACTATTGATTCTCCTATTTTATTTTCTTCTTTACCTTATGCAGTTCTCATATAGTTTTCCATAAGTTACTTTCATATTTATTCAATCGTGCATTTACATCTTCTTTGTCCCTCAACTCTCAGCTCTCTTGCTGTCCTTTCAAGGGTCAGTGCTAGGGTCTCTTCCTTTTTTGTTTTTGTTTTTTCTATTTTGGCTGTTATTCATTTAGGATTACAGTCGCCCCTCCATTCTCGTGGACTTGGGATCCGCATCCCTCACCTATCCATGGGTGGTAAATGGAGGGGGACAAAATGGGGTGCGCCCTCACAAGTTCACACCTCCATTCAAGCTTATAGGGCTTGAATATATGTGATTTTCCATTCTCACGGAGTGTGTGTGTCCAGAATGGATTCCCCCATTAAAGCAGAGGGATGACTGTATTAATTTTTTGCTATTATTATTATTATTATTATTATTATTATTTCTTATACCCTGCCTTTTGCCTTGGCAAATTTTGTTGTAGACCCCTCCATTTTGCTGATTAATTTTATGTCATTTTTTAATTCTGTTTCGTCTTTGTTTTCTTATTATCTTAAGTTAAAAATTATCAAAGGGCATAAATGCACAGGCAGGAAACAATGAACCAACCCTGTCATAGTCTGCCCATGGATCCAACCCATTATCCCCATCTCTCAGCAGCTACCTGGTCTGGTTCAGTGATGGACAGGTGTTCAGATACCTGCCTCCTGCTGTGCCATGGAGCTACCAACTATGATGCACCCATCACGGCAATGCTGTTCTCCTTGCAGGTCCCCACTGTATCCCATAAGGGCAGAAACAGGGTGCCTGGCTTCACCCAGATGGCCAGGCACTCACTTTTGACATCACAGGCAACAACTGGGGCCTACAAAGGGGAAGGAAGCAGCAGGTAAGGGGGCATAATAATAATAATTATAATCATATCCCGCCTTTAGCCATAGCCATCAAGGCTGCTTACATCTAAAATCAAGTACATAAAACATCCCCTACAAAAACAATACGAACTGATACATGTGGCTGTCTAAACTACCATTTTCTGGGAAACCCACCACAAATAATTAGTTATTTAAAAACAGCCTGAGGACTGGTTTTACTGGATCCAGTGAAATGGCATCTGGTATACCCATTCCCAGCTCAGGGCTGTTGGCCTGCATCATCTGAACAGGATGATGCCAGGTGGTGGGGGACGGGAAAGGACGGGACGGGCCTTTCGGTCTGTGCATACAGCCCCCAAAGTGAACTTCTAAACTGTCCCCTGATATTCTTGTAACAGGAGTATGTTAGTTTCACATATTGGTCCCTTACAATGTATCCTTTCCTCAAGTATGAGATTCTATTTAATTTTCTTTTGATCCTTGTGATTAACTTTATTTTTTACTGAAATATCTAAAATATTTCAGGACTTTCTTATGACTACCAAATCTTTAACACTCAGATCATCTCTCATTTGGACTATTGCAATATGCTTCCTATATGTCTTCCAAATCTTTCACCTAGATCCCTTTTTATTCAGTCTACTGATCATTCTACTCCTTCCTCTGACCACAATTTTGTTCACTTTTTTTTCTAATGGCATCTTTCTTCCCGAGTGTCTATCTCAAAATTCTGCATTTTGTTTGCAAACACATTCATTTATCAACTTACTTATTCTTCTTCTTTTTATTCCCTCTCTGTGTACATATGTCTGTACTCCTTCAAGTCACCTATCAACTTATGGTGACACCATGGGTTTTGTGAGCTTCCTAATTTCTTTCATTTTAGTGCCAAGTCACTATTATCTCATCCAGAACTAGAATTTTTATTGCAGAAGTTATGGTATTGGCAATACTTTTTTGGGGGGGGAGGGGGGATAGTTGATTGCTACTTACTCATTAGTTGTTCTTTCTAAGTGCTGAGTACTATAATGATTTGTTTTGTTGTGTGCCTTCAAGTCATTTCTTACTTACGGCAATCTTGTCATGGGATTTTCTTATTCAGAGGGGGTTTGCCCTTAATCTTCCTCTGAGGCTGAGAGAAAGCGACTTGCTCAAGCTCACTCAGTAGGTTTTCCATTGTCAAGGAGGAATTTAAGCCTTGCTCTCCCAGAGTCCTAGTCCTAGTAAACCACTGTACCATGCTGGCTATCTGAATAAACTGTTAGTAGTGCATTACTTTTTATTTTTTATTTTTTTGTATAAAGAAAACAATATAATAATAATAATAATAATTTTTATTTATATACCGCCCTATGGCGGACCAATCCGGGCGGTGAACATGATAAATAAAATATACAATAATACAGTGTAAAATAACATCATTCCCCCTCCCCCCCTTAAAAAATCATTAAATCAGAACAATGTAAAACTAGGTTAAAACTAACCCAATTATAAATTAATAATTAATAAAATTAGTAAAATTACATACAAACCATATATACAAAAATGGCCCAAATCCACTCAAATTACTCAATGTGATCCCCACATAACATTTTGAAACAATGTTCACCACACACACACACACAAACAAAAGCCCTAGTAGTCATTACATTTAAAAGGAAAAGAAAAAGAAACACCATTGTTTCTTAATTAATGCTTCCAAACTCTGGTCTCAAAGATCTCTTTATTCTATCACCACATTTATTCTAACATTATTCTTCATATATGTTGCCTTTTCACACTGTTTAGAGAAGTCACAACACTATCTTTTTGCATAGATATTTTCTCTTTTACCACTTTTCTATTTTTCCTTTGAGTCTTTCTTTCAATACCACACTGTATACTGCAGGTTTGCACCCATGGTTTGTCTGTTCTGTTCTTGTACAGCACTAAGATGATAGGAAACATTGCAATCTAGGAATTAGCCCATGAAATTCAGGGAAAGGGGTTGTTGAGAAATGCCATTTGTTTTGCACAACTCCCACTGCTAACTGTAAAAACAAGTATTACCTGCAAATGGTTAATTTCTAAAAAATATTCAGTCTTCAGTTACACAAATGAGGCAGTTTTTAAAAAGGGAACCTCAAAGCAGTCAGTGTTGTATACACACTAAGTAAAAGCTTTCTGTGCAACTCAGTTCCTAAAAATCCTGGCCATATGTTGAGAACTACAGGGACGGAACTGCATTTTCAAAAAGGTCAGTAAACTGAAGCTAGACCCTGTACATTTAACATACCCAGTACCCCCCTCAGTCTGACAAATAACAACTTCTACCATTCTTTGAATGTTCAAAAAGCAGGAATCCCAAAATGTGAAGTTGCACAAGAACATCTACAATCAATGTACATTTAAGAGAGCCTTTTACAGATGAACTTTTTGAAATCCAGTCATTTTTTTCCACAGGCAAAGTTGAAAGAATGAAAAACACATGTACACTTAACATCTCCTGACATAAACCAGATTTGAACCATTGACCTTCAAATCTCCTTTGGAAAGGCCTAACAGGAGCAACTGTTGGTTACTTTCTAAACCAGCCACTGGCAAAGGACTTCACAAATTGCTGAGCCAATTAAGCAGCTATTTGTTCGTTTGCTGCACCAGAGGGGGAACATGGTAGCTACTAAGATCTGGGACTACCATTTTAGAACTTCAGTTTCTATTTTATTGTGATCGCCTCTTGTTTCTGTATTAGCATCCCAACTGCACAAACAACAGGAAACTGTTCATACTTCCTCATGTTTACAAGGCTACCCTATACGAAGGGGTAAAAGCCACAAAACTGGGATAGAGAGAAGCAGTTTGTTCTTTTATCCCTCCTCAAAGCTCACAACAATTCATTATTTTGTCTCAGGCATTTAAGTACTCCCATTGTATGGTAGGGTATAGCAGATCATACACATGACCAAACTGTTTACTTTTCTTAATATCTATATGATGCAAAAATGTCTTCTCATTGATAAGTTTTTGCAAAGCTTTAACTTTCATATAGAAAAATTGGAAAACATACAAAAACTGTCCTGAGTGAAAATAATGGCTCTTAGACCTGTATTTTGTTTAGGAACGTTCAGGATGCTTTAAGTTAAGATAACATAAAATAGCGCTAGCTGACTAAAGCAATGCCGCCCCTTTCATCCTTGACAAGAAGATGTATGCACTGTCTTTATGGAGCTTTTCTGAAAGCCCATTTACATTTTTGCTGAATCCTGCACTCCATGAGAGAAATTTTTTAAAAAGAGCTACGAGCTGTGTGTGTGGCAAGAGGGGGAATCATAATTCATTAAAAACCTCTAACATATTTCTTTGGGTGCACTCTAAGAATATTTTGCTAAACAGCTATAAGCATTTCAGACACACA